TTTCTAGGTTGTTGCTACGGCATGCAGGTGGCTTTCTAGGTTGCCTGACATTTATGATCCTGTCAGGGCGCAGGTGGCTTTCTAGGTTGCCTGTTGTTCAAAGGTTTCTAGCTGATTTGACAGGATCGAAGTGATTCAGAGTATACTTGTAACCCATTAGTCAAGAACTTTATTAACCAACTAGGTTTTATTGTGCTAGGGAACTAGGATTGATTATCATCTCACCAGAGCATGGGAGAAGGGTCAAGCTAAAAGACGCTACAAACAAACGTTCCTAAACAGCGAAACCATTAATAGGAGCATTAACGGAAATATCACATGTGGAAACTTCACTGGATCATCTAACAAACGAGGGGAGGAAGAGGTACAGATGCAAAATTTTGGGTTTATGGTTATTAAGAGCTAGAAATTTAATTATTTTTTCTATTTGATACTCTTAGATCGATAGTTCCAATGAGAAAAGAATATTAAAAAAAAATCGACATGAAATTGAAGATAGACAAATTATACTCCTGCCTCGAACTCTAGAAAATCAAGTAATTATTGTTTTCCATCGTGTTTTATCTCATTATGTACAGTAAATGCATTATTTCTAGGACTTATATCAAAACCATGATGATAGTATTGATGACGAAAACTCTATACTGCTGCTTTGTGTACCTGATGACGATTTTCAAAAAGTAACTGAATTAATAGTAGGTAAGGACGAAAGATCAGCTCTGGTAGTAGAGGGCATCGATTTAGAAACAACGTTTGAACAATATCGTAACGAGTATGAAAACAGTTTTGAGTGAGTAGAATCTACTTTTCTGATCGATATAAAAAAAAACAGATAATTTATTCATACTATCTATGATCTTTATTAGTCTATGTTGTAGTGACATAATGGACCTTAGGCTTAACTCTAAATTTACGGAAAAAATATCCGAAACTATATTGGAAAAATTTGTATCAAACACATATCCCGAATATAAATTACCTAAAAAATGGAAAGAAATAATAAATAATGTTTTTGATGTATGTTTCAAAATCTAAAAAAAGTAGATTGTTGTTGTTTTGACTAATTTTTATTTTATTGGTAACAATAGCCAAAAGATTCTTTATTTAAATGGATTAAATGCTGGTGTGATATTCACGTAATTTCTGGTGAAAACGAAGGTGATGATAACTTTTGGATTAAGGATGCGATTTATAACATTCTTGCACCATTATATGTCAAACTCCTATATTAAATATATAACAATGTTTTTGATTTATATTTATTTTTTTTATTTTTATTTTTATTTTGTTTTTAGCATTAAAGCATTCAAGGCACCATACAATATACTAAAATTAGGAGATCTCGAAGAAAATCAGTTCAATGCACAGTTTGTAAATCAAATACTTAATAACGCACTAGATATTATTTGTAATGTCGACTGGCGAATGTAAGTTAATAATTGTATTTTTTTTTTTAATAAAAAAATTCATTTGTACATGATTATTAATTAATATTGTGACATTAGACTCGAAGTCCAGATCAAAAGCAGTAAGCACGAGGTAACACAAATCTCAATTCAATTATTGATAAAGTTTTATCAGTGAAACGTGCGAACGGTTTGGCTCGCCTCTGGATTATAGTAGTCATGAAGAAATCTTCATATACAAACGAGTCAGTTTCCCCGATTACAATGATCTTACTGAACTTTATTTTAACGACTACAAGCTTATCAGAACTATGCGGGATATTTTAAATCAACGTATAATTTTTCGACTTAACGATAGAACTTTGGGTAATTAAGATTTAGCAAGCTTCGGTGCTTTGGGATATTGCACAAATGTATCATTGTTTTGGCTTATGATAAATCAAAAAGCATATTGCGTACGTGAATTCGGGAACTTTAAGGTCCCTCTTCTTTGGAAAGATCTTCCTGTATTGTCGGAAGCAATTATAGAGTGTTTGAAATTTTTTGTGAGTATAGTAATGGTTTTATAATTTCTCACCAATTCATTACTAATAATAATTTAAATTTAGTCCTTCGTAAAAGAAAATACAGAACAGTGAAAATTGCTTATTGATCCAAAACAGAAATTGTTTACTAAGCGTAAAGTCCATACTATAATGCTAACTCCACCAACTCAGATCGATCTAAGAAGCATAATTATCAACCAAAAAGAAGGAAATTAGTGTCATATGATTTCTGTTAAAAAATAAATCTATTCTATTTATGCCGATAAAGACTACATATCAATAATTATCTTTTTGTATTTAATAATTCAATTGCAAACAAAAAAATTCGTACATCGTAGTTGAATATTGGGCCATAAAAAATTGTTCTTGGTTTATATAACCCAGCCGGGTCAAAATTTGCAAATTTTTGAAACTTTTTTTTTAATGTTAAAAAACAATATATATATATATAATTCGAAAAAAAGCCAAGTTGCTTAAATTTTATGTTACAAAAACCAAAAAAATTATTTTATATAGCCTTAGGCCACACAAATTTATAGAATTGGTTTTCATATCACGGAATGGTAATCCGTGACGCGGGCGCACGGCTTTTTTTTTTTTTTTTAGAAAAAAAACTTCTTAAGGCTTATCGTTTGATTATCTACACTGATGGATCATCGGTACTGTATAGAAAAAAAATTGCTTATGTATCGTTCCTGATAGAACCCTAAAAACTACATTATAAAACCATAGCGCAAAATTTGATGCTTAATAATGACTGCATAATTCAATTGAATGATCAATATTCGAGAAACAACAAAGGATTTTTAAATAACTGCAATTATTTTTCGGTCATAATAAAAGTTTTTAGCATAAAATTCAGATATATAAATCCTTATTTATTATCTTGAGATAAATTATTAGGTTTACATTGAGATCAACGTTATAAATCAATCAGAAACTGCCGGTAGGAATCCAGCTGTATCGTAAGTGGCTATAAAACTATATTGTGAAATTTAAGAATCATGTGTAAATATTTCGACTTTGGTATCCTTATTATAACTAAGCACATTATGAGAAATTAGCTTTGGATTCTTTTAAGAACCCTATCGGGAAAGGTAAATCGATTTTTTTTATCCCGAATGGTATTTTACCTATTGGTTAACTATATAAAAAAAAGAAAATTTACAAACTCCACTTCACTGACGCGGGCGGGATATGAAAACCAATGATATAATTTTGTGTGGCTTAATAATATTTCTATTATATATTTTTTTTTATAAAAGTTTCAAGAAATTAACATATAGAAACAATGCTTTGCATTCATATTTATTACCTTTGCGAGTTACCTTCGTTACCTTTGCTTATTTTAATTCATATAAAACACTTTTTTAAATAGATCTTTACCAAGTAAATCTTAGTTAAAGGTCGTGGGATTCAAACCAATATTATTAAACTTAGTACACTAGACCTGTTGTTTTAATATTATAATTTCTAATTTGTTATTAAATATTGAACTTGGATATTACGTATACAAACTCGGGGCATACCCTACTCGGTTACGTACTGATCTTACGATCTACACGGGTTTGTATCACTTACAGAAATATAAATATAACAATATAATCGTGTCTCGCGTATTTATTTACTTCCCTGGTAAGCGTTTGTGCCTTTTGGGAAAACACGTATATATTTGACTGCTTCTTTTTCAACAAAATTTCATGCAACAAAAATACATGTCTTAAGTGTTTTATGATTTTTTCAATTTAGAATTTGAAACGGGTAACGAAAAAAGTTGAGAAAGCATTAGCAACGCAAGATAGTTGAAGGTCAGTATTCATGAATAATGAGTGTGCTGCTCTCTATGCTGTGAGTATGGAGGAAGATGCGTTCCAGGTATGGGCATCTCCACTAGCGTGTTGAGGAAAAAAAAAGACATCCCTGGGCGTGCATTTGATTAAGGTCTACTGATTCTACAGGAGGAGTCGGTTATGTACTTAATATTACTCTTAGCAAATGAATATTGACTACAGTGTTTGAAATTCAATTTTAAATTTTGTTGCGGGCCTGCAACTTAAAGGTGCAGACATTAGAACATGGGTAGCTACTCAAATTTTATATGACGCAAGAGAGTAGCTACCCTTGACTTGACAAATATTTGCACCTCTAGTTGCGTGATAATGAAAAAAATAAATAAATAAAAGATATTGACTTTTCTTTTTTTATTGTTATACTAGCAAATTCGATATTCTTTAAAAAATAAGAAGTGCGAAAAAAAAAAAAAAAAATGAAAATACAAGAGATGGATATGGAACTTTCGTCTATTATCAAAATGTGCCGAATTGAAAAAAAATAACGTTGGTTAGGGTTGTCAAATTACTGTAATTTTACGTAATTTTGCGTAAGTTTTCGGTAAGCTAATCTTCATATAATTTGTAATTTTTAAATTGAGTACTGTAATTTCTTAATAATGACGTACATGTCAATTAACTATCTAATAACTTAATATTTTTCGTGGTCCCCTTTTTTTTATATATATACTGATATCAAAAGCGATAAAAAGTGATGTCTTTATCAAAAGAAATTTTATCTAGAGTACACTATTCGAGTAAGTCTTTATTTCACTGTAATAAAAACAATGGCTCTAATTATTCTGGGAGAAACACTGTTCCTTTTGGGGTAATAAGGATCCATGAGATTCTTTTATACCAAATTCCCGAATGCAACTAAACACGAATCTCACGATTCTTTAGAAAAGGAGTTATGTTTCTTAATTTAGAATCTTGTGCAAGGCACACAAGAAATTAAAAAAGCAATATTGATGCAAAATGAGTTGAAGGTCAGTATTCATGAATTGAGTGTGCTGCACTCTATGCTGCTTGTATGAGAAAAGATTGCGCCTAGACATGAAGTAACATCCTGTAGCGCGCATTTGAGCGTACTGCACTCTATATTGCTTGTATGGTGCATTTGATTAAGGCCTTCTGATTCTATATGAATCGTATGTACAGTACCTTCCTTAATATTACGTGCTACGGTAATATGCAAATGAATATTGACTAAACTAAATTTCTTTTGTATATTGTTATACTACTAGAAAAATTTTGCCGCAAATAATGATACTTGTAAGTTTTTTACAAACGTTGGATTTTTTTTATTCTTTAAAACGCAACGTAAATAAAAAAGAAAATATTCTACTGAAAAAACGATTAAATCCCGAAAACAGTCAAAAATCGAACCAGAGTCGCAGACGATCCACACTGGCTCAGACAACTCGGTCAAAGTAGCCTGTAAGTTTTATGAAATTTATAAGATTTATAAGTTGAAACATCACAATTATATTCACATTTAAATGTCATTTTACATTGCAGTAGGGGTAGGCTGGATGCTTATTTGGACTATGAAGAATGGAAAATGATACTTAAAACAAATCCTTATTCACTTCGTGAGCAAGTAATACCGAAATCGGTATCAAGTGATTTGCATAAAGCTGTGGTCAAACATCCCTTAGGACAGGACAGCTACATGCATCCGGGACATGGGACACTGTCCGGGACTGTTCGCGTCCGCGCAATTTTGACGGGACAGCGTCCACGTACAACACTGCTGTGGAGGATATCCCTTTTTTAAATTCGGAGATAAACCGTTAGGTTGTAGTCCTTTGAATAAAAAAAAAAGATATAGTAAAAGCTCATTTACAAGCAAGAGGATCAATAAATCAACAACTGTCCTTAAAAGGCGGTCCGGGCAAATCGGCTATATTCCTAAACTGTATCACCTATTTATTTAATATTATCTATTGTAGTTCATATACGTATGCAGTATTTACAACACTTTATTTATTTGTGCTAATTTATCTGACATTTTTCAAAGCGTTCAAATGTTTATTATTTTCATCGATTAAATGTTTATCGCGTAATTTTCATTTAAATGTAAAATTTAATTTCTATTAAAATTTTTTTTTTTTATTTAGTTCAAAATATATATATGTATTTCAACTTCAAATTTTAGATATTTATTCTTTGGCATTTGATGTTTCTTTTTCAAAAATTATTATGATTTTTTTCTTAAAGTGTATAAATAAATTACCCGAGCAATTGATTTACATCAGCCAATCAGACAAACTTCTGCCTATCGCTATGAGATAAAATCTGCGAACATATATATTTATTAGTTTGAATTATTTTATTAACTAAATTTATTATTGTTAACTATCGCTATTATTGTTCTTAATAATCTACCGTATACAATATATCTGATATTCGCTTTTACACTCGTTTAGACATTCTTATATCTAATCTAAATTCCAATATCTGAAGTATTATTCTATGTTTCTAATATCCGAAATGCTTCTAATATATATCTGATATATTGTATAAATGCTCCCTTATAACTTAAACGACTACATAAAATGAAATAAAAATTGTGTATAGTTAACCATAAGGCCACACAAATTTATAGAATTGGTTTTCATATCACGGAATGGTAATCCGTGACGCGG